TAGATGTCTTGTAATGCGCTGTTGAGGAACCTGCAACCCAAGTTTTTCATTCATTGCATAACTACACCGAAGTTGTGTCTATGATATGTCAATAAACCTTTGAAAATCTTGAAATCTTGAAAGGGATGTGCAAAATAGCCATAATATACAGTCCTTAATTAACTAAGTAGAGAATAACGAGTAATGAATATACTTTATTACTCGTTTCCATTCATGTCAATTGCAGATACATGTTTAGTCTTCTCAAGCACCAACTATCAAATATCTCTCCTGATTGTTGGCACTTGACAATCACCTTACCTGAATTTTACTCAGGTGTAACTAAAGTCTGATTTAAGGGTTGTTTATATTTCACATAATTAATCAGAATCTGCAAAGTAACTCAAATAAGTGTAGTGGAGTAAAAATACCAGGTTAACCTCTGAATTGTAGTGGAGTAGAATTACAAAGTAACAATGAGCTGTCATGTGGGTATTAATGCTGCGCATTATGGACACAAGCGATTTTCACCCATTTATTAATTATATGTTTTACATTTGATAACACCAATGTGTTTAATACTGGCAACTTCTAATTGTGGGAAAAACGAAAACGTTCAGTAGAGACGTCCCATAGAACATTTTGCGAAACACAATAGCCAGCATGTGTGGTACTTGGGGGGGGGGGGGGGGGGGGGGGGGGGGGGGGGGATAGTTTTGGATAGTCTGGCGTGGTTTCGTTCCATTTCAAACAGCTGTTTGACGCTGGCGTAACCTTGATGCACTGCCACTCCAACATCCAATCCCAGAGCTTGAAGATTAATCACGGGGACTGTAGTCCTAAACGATAGCTGGGGATTGTAGTGTAGTGTCTTCGGGCCATCCTAAACTCCTACGTCTGTTTCCGGTTATTTTTATTCTGAAATTCAGTTCCTGACGGACGCCAAAAAAGCCCGAGATTATGGAATTAAACCAATAAATAAAAGCCCGACCGGAGAAAAAGACGTGCTGCAGGCAGTAGAAATACATTGCTTTTAAAATCGTGCTGTGCAACACGGAAAAAAGGGGAAAATCGTGTTGGTGAACATGAATCAATAGATTAAAAATCGTGTTGGTGAACACGAATCAATAGATTAAAAATCGTGTTGGTGAACACGAAATGCCATGAGACTGGGTTGTTAAAACACAGACTATACAAGTTGTCATGTCAGACTATCACAAGTAAGAATATTGTACAGAAACATTGCGGTAAATTATGCCGGTATAGAAAGTGGCAAATTCTACAATGATAGCATGAGTCAAGATGATGGCCTTGCTAACATCCTCTATATAATATGAGAGAAATGTTATATCACGGCACTATGTTGCCAAACTTTCTCAATTTAAACAAAATTAAAAAAGTTAAATATTCACTTATACAAGAAATATGCATCAGGAGATGTTATTTATGTGACTGTCAGACAGTAAATTGCTACTTTCCCGCGGGCGCTGCCGTTAGCAAACGGTAGGCGAAAGGCAGGTGGAGCTAACCACTTGAAACAGTAGGCCAATGCCGGTGAACCATTGTGACAATGAGAAGAGTATAAAGTTGGAGAAGTTGTTCTTCAATTCATTCTGGGTTCAAAAGAATATGAGCAACATGAGCACAGCTCCGAAGAAGTCTGAAAATCTGAGCTCAACAGTCTCAGATTTATCGTTGTTGTTATCGTTATCGTTGCTCGAGTGTTATTTTATCCATTTAGTTTTCTTGTCGGTGGTGTTTGGTGTGGCTGGATGGTTGGAAGATGTTACGGGCAGAAATCTTCTGAAGTGTTTTTCTGTCATGTGTTATAAAGGTGAAATACCGACTAATCCAAACTAAAACATAGCTTCAGTTTAGCATATACAGTATACTGCAAGTTGGAGGAAATAGATAGTCTGGCTTCTAATAATGTAAGTATATAAGTGCATTATTTTCTTTTCTTAATACCATTATTACATGCAAATAAAGCATAATAAATGTAATTGAGTTTGTAATCAAAGATTGCAAACTATCTTGTTTTGAGCTTTAATTATTCATCAGTGTTATAAATACACCCAGAGAGAGGAGAGCGGAGCTGTGAGCGAAAGGGCTGGAAAATGTGATAATTGATTGTGATAATGAACAAGTCCAAAATGGATAGAATGGGAGCAAGTCTGGATGTGAAAAATTGGCCACGCTCTGTCATTTTAGGGCTGTAGAGGATGAAGGTGACACACGATGGAGTAGGGAGCAGCCAGTCACACAGAAACTGATGGGGAAGGATGACAGCTCTGAAGATGGAGAACAGCTTTGTCCTTTGTTAAGCTCAGCTCAGCCAATTCCATCTTCAGCAAGGTGGAAAAGCATCTCCTATATGCACAATAATGAAGCGGATCCATTTATAATCCGTTTATAATTGCAGCATGAAAATGTAAAATGGGAGCGGTGTGATGGAGAAACATGCTGAGAGGAGAAGCTGCAGCTCTGTGCTGTGGAGAGAGCTGAAAGGTGTTGATGTCAGTGTGCATTTGTGAGTCTATTTCAAGTGGGAAAAGAGTGCAGATCATTTCAGATATGTGTTCTGTGATGTCTGCCATCAGTGCTTCTAAACAGGGTGTACAGGAAAGGGAAAAACGCCAATCGCTCTCCACAATATACAGGGGAAACATGTTAGAAAGCTCAGGGAGACAGAGGAGGGGTCACACCCCCCCCAGCCGGGCAGATGTGAAATAGGCTTTTCAACTTCCTTCAGCACGTGAATGTCAACTAATTCTTCAAGATTTACAAACACTTCCAACTAAACTTACTATAAAAATGTTGTTTAAACTTAATTTGTTTCTTACCCTTTTCTATATAAAGTAATGTTCATATTTCTCATTCTGATTATTATTATAGTGTTGAACTTTCAAAACAAAGCACTTTGGCAGGTTACGACAAAAGTTGTAAAATGCTTGATAAGCCCCGTAACTTTCATGATATGCATTTCTCGGTCATGATCGGTTGTTTCTGTTAATTGCCAAATGATGTGTCACGGTAAATGTTACCACTGCAAGGCATTGTGGGACATCATTTTCTCCTTTCAATCAATCAATCAATGTTTATTTATATAGCCCAATATCACAAATGTTACATTTGTCTCAGTGGACTTCACAGTTTGTACAGAATATCAGTATGACAATACGACACCCTCTGTCCTTAGACCCTCTGTCCTTAGACCCTCACATCGTACAAGGAAACACTTCCGGAGAAAACCCTCTTTCCTTTCGTAAAGCAAGGTCCAGTGTTTCCTAAGCTAAAGGAGGTTATAAAGGAAGTTTCAAAGCTCCTTTCCTATCATCTGAGAATCCGAACAGCTCTTATCATGGCTGCTACTTGGGTATTTCTGGGTCATTTCACAATTCCACCGCATCACAACTGCTTCTCTCCTTAGCTGCACTACAGGGTTGGGGTCGAATTGTCAATAGCTGCCCTGCTCTATACCAGTTGAGTTTTGAAATGAAACTTCATTACAAACTGGTGCCGAAGAAGTAAAGAGCAGCAGATGGTGGTAGTGCTTTACTTTATTTCTTGCCGAACATCATAAAACATAAAAAGAAAAAACAGAATGCAGGCAACACATTGGTTGATGCAACAGCCTCCATCAAGAGGTTAAAATACATGAATCACCTTTTTTTTTACAATAACATGAAGGAAATTGACAGCTTTGGGTTTTCTGAACAGACTCTGAGGTTTCTGCTTCATTTGACTGGCAGCATCTGATCGCTCATAATAAACAAAGCTGATGTTCTGCATCGACAGCCTAATAAAATCCTAAATCCTGTTGGTGTGCAGTCTGTAAGGCAGGATTACACATCCCATCCTCCCACGCATGATAAAGCAGGTGACAGGAGACAGGCTGTGATGCTGTAGTGTCTGGAGACTCACAGGTCCATCAGTCGAGGCCTTCACTCTGTCCCTTCAGCGCGTAACAGCTGGAGACTCATCAGCATTTCTGGAAAAAGTAGAAAAACTCAGAAGGACAGAATCACACAACAAAATAACAAATACAACATTGTTTTACGCAAATGTGTCTTTCAGCCAGTTATTGTTGAATTGACAGAGAAAGTAGGTGTGTCCAGAAGCACATTTTGCCATGATGACACAAACCGTCCCAAATGCAGCATCCCTGTCATGGCTGCTAATATTCTGATCCATGGATGTGTGAAGGGAATACAACGTCAGAACCCTGTCATGAGCCCTGTTCATTCCAATGAAAGTTGCATAATGGTGCATGAAGCCCAGCATAGGTACAAAAAGTACTCAGCTCCAAAATAATCCGCTGATTTACACACATGTCTTTCCCAATGTAGGCCAATGCGCATAATAAGAAAACGGCCCTTTAATCACCATGAGGTATACATATTGCAATTAATGTTGCTCTTCTGTCAATATCTACCTTTATATTTACAGTAAAAATTGTTTATGTTATTTTGACCTCAGCCCTACTAACTGACCCTAAAAATGGCTTATCATGCTAAGCGGACTTAAGACGATGGTTATTGTTTGATGATGACTCTATATTACACTAATTGAATCTGTCTACTCACTGCTAACAGGCACCACATTATCCATAGACTGCGTCATCAGTATGCAACATCTCCCATTTACTCGAGATTAACCTCCAAGACTCTGTACTATATGATTTACAATATTCACATGGCTGGGCATTGTTCTTAAACTTAATTTTCCCTTTTACTCTGCAATAGTGAACCCCATTTTCTGACAAGCATTTCGTTTTCTTCTCTTTTCTTCTTCTTATATTGTAGATACCTTTCAATTGTTGCAATCGAGATCAACGGTAGTGTTAGTAAAAAAAATGTGGGTTCAAAGGCTTTAGGTCCTATCCACAGCCGTTTCTATAGGAAGTGAATGCAGCATCTCAGGCTGCATCTCTCGATGACGTCACTGGAGAGTGAGGGAGTGGGGGGGCAGAGGGAGGGAGCTACACAATGAAACCGATAGTGTGTGTGTTAGTGTGTGTCTGAGTACACAGTGCCGTGCTTTTGGACACAGCGGACAGGCTTCCATTCAGCGGAACGCTCTCTGGACTAGCCGTGTACAGGAGGCTCTCCCCCCGCTGCTGCAGACACACTCCGCCGCTGCGGTCCATGTGAAGCTCTGCAGCTGCTGCCTCTGTGTGAGTACTCCATACAGCAGGTCTTTATGTATGGCATGTTGAACTCTAACTGCTTTCACTGCTGTACTTTAACATGTACTTATCTCGGTGTTTTGATGCTATACAGCTGTGAGTTTGCTTTACTGTGGCTACACTGTTTGCTAATGAGAGACACTGTCATGTTTCCACACTTATATAATGCTGTTAAGAAGATATTCATTCATTTGAACATCACACGTTAGCTAGCAAGGTATCCCCTGCCTTGGAGCAAACGCTCGTGGTGGGTATAATTCGGCACTTGCACGTGCGCTCTCATCAACCTCGCACGCGAACTCCGACGCGCTGTCACGCACGCTGTGTGCGTGTGTGTTTTGTGTGTGCGTGTGTCTGTGTTTGTGTGTGTCTGTGTGTGTGTGTGTGTTTCAGTGGTGTAAAATAACATTTACTCAAGTACTGAGTTACTTTATGTGAGTATTTGAATTGTATGCTACTTTGTACTTCTACTCCACTACAGTTCATAGGTAAATGGTGTACTTTTACTCCACTACATGTATTTAATACCTTTAGTTACTTTACATATTTCGATTAATGCTGTGAAATATAATCAACTCTTAAATCAGACTTTAGTCTAAGTCAGTGGCGAGCCGTCAGGGCCCTCTAGGCCCTCTGTGAGGGCCTAAGATATTATAAAAAATAATATTTGAAAACATAAAAAAACAAAACAGAGAGCCTAGGTATAAAAGTCACGGCTCGTCACTGGTCTAAGTCATTAAAACTAGCTGCACCTTTACCAGCTTTGATAACACTTTAATGCATCAATCATTATAAAACATATCATATTATTCTGAAATGGACCAATCTGCACAATGTCTACGTTTACCTTAGGTACTTTAAGTATATCTTGATGATAATACTTTTCTAAGTACCATTTTGAATGCAGGACTTTCACTTGCAACAGAGTATTCCTACACTCTGGTACCTTTACAAGATCTGAGTACGTCTTCCACCTCGTGTGTGTGTGTGTGTGTGTGTCCAGACTAACCTCATGACTCACAGCAGGGAGCATTCTTATTGGATCTTTCTGCTGGCGTGAATTACTCACTGAATCCCAATGTGTTGAGAGCTCTGATTGTGTGGGTTTTGCCTGTTAACAGCTACAGTAAGACCCTGTCCACACGGAGACGAAACGGGTTGTCTCCGCTAGGGCTGCACGATATATCGTGTCGTGACGATAATCGCGATATGCGCATGCGCGATATTCACATCGCAGGACGTGCGATTTATTTTTTTAGGATATTAAGTAGGCAAATTAACTCAAACACGTCATGTTACAATTATTTTGCTGCTTGCTACAAAAGGAAAAGTTGCGCGGCTCTCATGTCAGGGGTACTTGAGTGAGTGACATGCAGGCTCTGTCAGCAAACCACCAATCACAATCAAATCTCCAAAGCAAACAGACGCGGTGATTAAAAGTAAAAACACTGAATAAAGTAGTTTCATGTGTTTCTCCAGGGCAGTTTGGCGCTGCTAACCGAGCTAGCTCAGCTTGTTGCTCTGATAACTTAAGATCCAGACGTCCGTGACTAAAATCCTTCATCCGGTTAAATATAGTTAAAAAAAAGACCAATTGTATAGCATTAAAGTTCAAGAAAGGATGGTTTGCGGGAAAAAAAAACTGTCTTTTCTTCAATTCCTGTATGTTTTCATATCGCAATATATATCACAGGGGGGGAAAAAAATCGCAATGTCAGTTTTTTCCAATATCGTGCAGCCCTAGTATCTGCTACAGTTCTCTATCGTATAGACGGTTCGTCCACACGAGGCCGACACTGAAACGCGGATAACGGCTCCCAAGGTGGGTAGATCTGCGGACAAACCGCTCTGGGGGGCCAAACGGCTCAGTGTGTACGTCCTATACGATCATTTCCGGTTCGTTTTCATTTTCGTTTCCGTGTGGATGGGGCCTTTGTTAGGGACAAAACCAGTGGTGGAAAGTAACTAAGTACATTCACTCAAGTACTGGACCTGAATGCCATTTATACTTCTACTCTACTACATTTTGGAAGCAAATGTAGTACTTTTTAATTCACTATATTTATTTTACAGCTCTATTTACTAGTTACTTTATAAATTCAGATTTTGACACACAATACTAAACGTTTTTTTTATTATTTGTTATAGGTTAAACAATCCAACACTATGATTGGGTTAACTGTCATGGCTTGGCTCTCAGCCACAACAAACGCGCGACAGAAAACGAGGGCGTGAATAGAAAAAGAGAGTTTATTCACTGCTGCTGAAGGACACAAACAGGCGAAACAAACGACGAAACAAGAGGTCAGCTGGTCGTGGCCGCTCTTCGCATTGCGTCCTCCTGCCAGAGAGAGATTGCAGGTCTCACTCAGGCCCTTTAACCCTCTGGTACCGGCCGCCAGGTGTCCTCAATCCCAGCTGATAGACCAAAGGGAAAAACATTAAAGGAACATACACACACCAGAGATAACAAGGCAGGGGTCGTCACACCCACCCCCTTAAAGTCGGTGTCCCCAGGACCACCGGCACACCAACCCTGACAAAACAAAAAAAACACCAGTAATGAACAACAAAAATACCAGACATACGGAACCCCACTTCCAACAAAACCAACAATTGCAACATACAACTCTCACACTGTCAACCGCTCCTCCCACACCCAGCCACATCTTTAGCAACACAGGTAAGCAACCTGAGAAGCACACTTTAAAAGGATGGGCAGAGCGAGAACGATTTATCAAACAGTATGACAGACAATACATTACCGTCACGGCCCATGCTTCCTCAGTTGTAGCAGTTAGTTTCACTGGCTTTACTGCAATGCACCGCCACGTGGCCAATGTCGCCACACCTGTAACATTTCACCCTACTGCAACGTCTCTGGATGTGACCAAGCCCACGGCAGGAATAGCACTTCCGGTCGTTGGCATGCCCACAGTCACGAGCCATGTGTTCTTGGTCTCCACACCGATAGCAGGACATTTCCTTGCCTCTTCCTCGACCCCTGTTGCCGCCGCCACGACCACCATCAAAGCTGCCGCCACCACAACCACCATCAACGCTGCCGCCGCCACGACCACCATCAACGCTGCCGCCACCACGACCACCATCAACGCTGCCGCCACCACGACCACCATCAACGCTGCCGCCACCACAACCACCATCAACGCCACCGCCGCCACGACCACTTTGACTAGTGGGACAATGCTTGGTCTTCTGTTTTCTAAACATGTTTTTGTCCATAGCACGAGTGATCACACAAGAGGACGTGACGTCTGCCAACACTGTAGAGCTCTCCTCAGACCTTGACTCAATCGGACCGCCAGTCACTAAAAGCACAGGGGGAACATCAGTCCAGACTCTGCTACCTGCCAAACCGTTGCCCAGGATGAACTGTATCCCCTTGATTGGCAAAGCTGGACGTACACCAACAGCCACCTCACCCTTAATAAGACCACAGTCAATATACATCCTATGAACAGGAATAGGAAGAACTTTTAATCCCATTCCCCAACTCAGAAGGGTGTCACCAGTGTCCCTTTCATAAGACAGAGGCAAAACAGAGTCAACAATATAGGAGTCAAAAGCCCCTGTGTCTCGCAAGATTTTGATTGGAACTCTGACATTACTACCTACCAATGACACCAAGCTGTCTCGTATAAATGGAGCATAAGATGCCAAAACCTCAGATGCACCTAAGTGGGATGTAAGCACATCGGCAACACAGCAGCTTTTCACAGGAGCAGCCAACGCAACAGGCCAAACAAAATATCTTCCTCCCTCAGATTTTGCTCTAAGCGCAGGACAGTCTGCCTTCCAATGGCCTTTTTCGTGACAGTAGTGGCAAATATCATTATTATCCCCCTCAGATTTGACCAAACCCCAATTTCCTTGGCTCCATCCCAAATGAACCAACCTTTCCACTTCCCTCAAAAACAGCCAGGGCCCCAGAGCGCCCTCCGAACCTGCTCTTATGAAGCAACACAAACTCATCAGCTGCCACAGCAGCTTCAGCCGCAGAAGTGACCCTGTATTCTGTTATGTAAGTAGCAATCTTGTCTGGAAGAATATTTTTGAACTGTTCCAAAGTCATGAGCTCACACAAATCGTCAAGAGCAGTTAACCAACGCTTAAAATGAACAGACAAATCCCTCGCCATCTCCACATATGTTTGATCTTGTTTTTGCTCAAAGGACCTAAAACGCTGTCGATAGGCCTCTGGCACCAGTTCATATGCTCTAAGCACCGCCGATTTTATTTTACTATAGCTAGAGCTATCCTCAAGACATAAGGAGGAATATGCTGACTGCGCTCTTCCTGTGAGAACACACTGAAGCATCAGGCCAATCTCTAGCCCTAGCTACACGTTCAAATAATTAAAAAAACGTGTCGGGATCACTTTCATTAAAGTGAGGCAGCAAGCGCAGGTTATTAACATCAAAACGATGAGACCTGGGCACCTGTTCACCCTGCCCCTCACCGGACAACGCGCCAAGAACAGACAGACGATGTCCCTCCAACTCTAACTTGGCTTTCTCAGTTTCTTGTCGTATCCGCTCCACTGTGATTTCCTTTTCAATTTCCAACGCATACTTTACTCTGTCATGTTCCAGCTGCAACAACAACATTTCCTTCTGCTGCTCAAAAGAAAGTGCACTAGCCTGAAAAAGAGGTTTTAACAAAAGCCCCTCTTCCTTTGCAGCAAACACTCCTGTCTCACTTAATGTCGACACTATAGAGTCTTTTATGTTGTCTTTCACCCTTCTATCACCGACAATAGACACAGAGAAATGCTCAGCAATTAAGAGCAGCTGCTCTCTTGAGAAAGTGGCAAGAGACTCCTGAGACGGAGCTTCAATAAATGCCTCTACGTCAGCCATCTTAATTTACACCGACCCCTCACCGGAACACAACACCGGACCTTTAACCTGAAAGAAGAAAACAAAAACACAACAACAAAAACAAACCAGACAGATACCACCACGTTT